TAATTGATTCTTGGTGATCACACACATATGATCGATCAGATCAGCTAAGTTCAAACAAAAACACGGTGATTAATATGGATAAGAAGAAGCCATTGCTCAATTTCTTAGCGACCGCTTCATTGCAATAATCACCTTGACACCAGCATATATTATCGATAAGATTCACATCTGGTATACAGTCCAACGGGGATGACCTGAAATCAATAAACGAATTTCTCTGGACGGTAGCAAGAACAATTATAATGACAACAGTGGACAGATGCATCAGTTCGATGAGAGACACCCGCAGGGAGTTTTTTCGAGGTAGGAAATTTGCAGAAATTACCTCATTAAGAATGATTCGTCTTTATATCCAAAGAAGCTAAATATAAAGATCATCTGCCATAAGTTCAAACTGTAGGGGTCATATTGATGGGAACAACGCTTCACCCACCCATACTTTTGTATCCCTAATGGTTTTACCGAGAATCGAACGAGTGGGATTATGGAGATACTGAAGAAATCGAATGCCAGAAAAATGTTACTTGGATGAGCAGTAAAAATCATCCGGTTCAGGTGCAGTTAAAGGGTCCTTCATATCGAACATCTCATTATAGCACGAACGCATTGTCATATACGAATATGAGCCTTAACGAATTACACATGATGCATCGATGAGAAATTATTCATGAGTTATGAATATCAGATCGTTTCAAAATTTCATTTCATCTGTAAAGAATTCCACAGAAGACAACTAATCAGCTGTTTTCATCCCATGGCTTCTTTATTAACCGTCTACTCGCCGATTGTACCGTGGAAATAGTTCACGCCAAAAATCACTGAACTCATCGATAAAATCTTCTAATTCAGATCTGCTGAACTTAGCGTTGAAATTCATGACTGGAAATTGCGTAGTTTAGCGAAATGAATGCATGAATGAATAATTAATATTGCACCAAATAACCTGAGTTATCGATAATCTGTTGCCATTTGAAGCAAGCGCCATCACATTCAACTGTGCCTTTGCGTTTCAAAATCCAAACATCCAGATCGCAAAAATTATCGTACACTTTCGGTTCAGCGATTCGCTTTTGAGGACCACGATTCTTTGTCGTGAAATTCTAAACTCTTACTTCATGTCAACAATACATTCGAAAGTTATTCGACAACTGCGCAATTTTCCATTCTAACAACGAAACGAATCTCGAGAAATCAGAATAACAAGACTCCACTAAGACTAATACGAGAATTGCGAATAACTTAATCGGTTGGAAATGAAATCCTCAAATTCCATCAGAACCTTCGGAAAGCATAAAATGATTTATTAACTCTTAAAATTCTTCTGGAACTTTTGATCGCTAAAATCTAAAAAGAAACATTTGATCACACGAGCGATCAAATGAATTCGTGCATTAGCATTAGCCGTCGACTCGTTGCGTTTCACCATTGAATTAACAAGTTTTAATGATATTGGTACACCACTCGGTTTCGAGCAAAACATTCCTCCGCGAACGGAAATTGAACCCGCGACTGAGCCAGGCTATGATCCGGCTTATACCTATTATCCAATTAACAAGTTTTAATTGCACCTATTTCGGTCACCACTCAACGATGTGCACAAATGGAGCCTAGGATCAGCCGTCAAGTTAACATGCGATTTTTAATCGCAGATGGGAAGAAAGGAGGAAAAGTTTGGTTGAATGAAAAGCTTTTCGTGGAAGGCGATGTTTCCTCAGATCCATTACTGAAATCGATGCTGAGGAAAGGGTAGGGAGTAGATTTAAATAACAAGTATTTATCCAATCAGCAGCATTTTCTTCACAAAACGGTAATCTTTATGCAATTCAACTTGTTTCATCACAAATATTACTTATTTCAGGCCGTATAACTGAATTAATACAAAAAGAGATATTAAATTGAAGCAAAATTCTCGTTTGCTTCTTATTTTTCAACATTTTTGGTTGCTTCAGACAAGCGATAAAGGGCACACTCTGTAATAAGCCTCATCAAACAAAGAATCAAATCAATCTCTTATCTCATCGTCGCGATCGTTTCTTATTCATCATTTTCAAAGACAAAAATTACTGCTGAAACAAATTTCTCCTTGATGTTGAACAAAATTTGCCTTTGTCTGTGCCCACTCAGAGAAGTTCAATTCCATTAGGAACAATATTATATTTGGCAGAATAATACAAGTGAAGTGTGTTGTTTACGTAAGCAATTTAAAAAGTTAAGTTTTCACTTTTATTATATAAAAGAGCATTTTGGATTGCATCGTTAGTACTTGTGGCACATTTCAGTTGGTTAGTTTGTTTTTTTTCGCACATTGTACACTTCTCTAATCCGGTTTAGCTCGTCCGCATGTCAGTCACTCAACGATCTCATTTAGAAAGTTCTTTAAGTTAGACAATGTGGTTTTGTTGCCACGTGAACAACAGGCGATTTTAGAAGTTGTGAAAAAAACTTTTCACTCACCTGAAGCATGTTTGTTGAGGCACAGCTGTAGCATTTATCTGAAAATTTTTTTTCGAAAAATATTCACACATAAATTTTATTTGTTGATTTAATGTGGCGATGAGATACGATTCACTCGATAAAATTCATAAAATTAAACCTGGCAGTGAAAGGCGCAAATTCACCTTGGAATAGAGAAATTGAGCGAATTACATTCGCGTTTCATTTCGATTTTCAATTCATGTATACTTTTCACGTTACGAGTTTAAGTGAACGAGTTTTGACACCAAATATTTCCCGTTTTTGAAGTCTGATTATCCGAAAGTGTTTCTGAGATTCTGAGAGTATCGATTTGGAGCGTTAGCCTTAATCAGCTAGCTCGAGCTACAGCTAACCGAACATTTCTCAAGTGTTGTTCTGGATAATGTTCCCTACAGTTTTCGACCCTCAGCAACC